GTGATTCTTGAGCATGTCACACAACAGACTGAACTCTGCCTGGAGTGTGCCCCTCTACCATGAAAGATGAAAGACACATAAATCACTGACAAAATATGATGTTTAGGTGGACAGATTGATAGTACTGTGGATAGGACACTTGCCTTGCCCATGGCTGACTCAAGTTCTATCCCTGGCAATCCCATGTGGTTCCCTGAGTCTAACCAGGAGTGATCCCTGAGCACAGATCCAGGAATAAGTCCTGAGCACCAGGTGTGGCTCCAAACCCGGTAGCACGGTAGCATGCTCCTCCCGTTGTTCATCGATTTGCTCGAGCGGGCCCAGTAACGTCTCCATCATGAGACTTGTTGTTACTGTGTTTGGCATATTAAATACATCAAGGGTAGCTTGCCAGGCTTTGCTGTGTGGGCGAGATACTCTCAGTAGCTTGCAAGGCTCTCCGAGAGGGGCGGAGGAACCGGGTGTGCACAAGGCAAATGCCCTACCGCTGTGCTATCACTCCAGTTCAGACAAACAAAAATACTATGTCTGTCATATGATATTTATATGAATATAAAAACTCAAGGAGCCAGAGCGATAGTACAGTTTGCATGAGTCTTGCCTTGCATGCAGCTGATCCAGGTTTGATCCCTGCCAGGAGTGATCTCTGAGCAAGGGCAAGTAGTAAGTCCTAAGCATTGCTGGGTATAGTCCAAAGTCAAACAAACCAAAAAAATTCACACACAGTGTTATAGCTTTACTACATAACAGAAGGTAGAGTAATATGGTGCTATTATAGCTACACAACATAAAATATCATTAATATTTCCCATAAGACAAAAAAGCAATTTCAAACTGTAACTGGTTAAGTCAGGTTAAGTAAGGTTAGGGATAACTCAAAGAGCTGGGTCTGGTTTTTGGCATTGCATGTCTCCCCAAGTCCCAGCACTGCCAAGATGGCCTTGGTGGCCCTAGCACAGTGCTGAATATACCAAGGAATAGCCCCAGGGTCTCCTAACACTGCTTGGGAAGACCCACCCCCTTATGACTTGATGTTCATGATCCTTTTTCTTATTTGGGTAAAACACAAACAACTCAGGCAGATGAATTAGGTACTTTCTCAAGAAATGCCATAGAATTTCACAATAGTTTGTGTTTTCAAAAGTTCATCTGGCCTCTGGAAAGAAAGATGGCAGCCGCTTGGGAGCCTTATGGAAAGCCAGGTATGAGCCGGTGGTGACGGGGCGACTAAAATCTCATGGGAAGGGGGGCATTCCCGGCTCATCCTTCACGCCCTACCGAGATCACCAGTTGCCCCCCACGAGCGGCTCTCCGGCACGGCCATGGCTCCAGAGCACAGAAACCAATCTCTTAATTATCTGACTCTCAGTAGAAATACTTCCAGGGTTAATAAGTAAAATAGCAGAAATACAAAACCGTGCGGCCGTGATTCAAGACATCATTTAATTCTTGAACCCAGCTGTAGAAAGCAAATCATTTCACAATGCTTTTTCAGCATGTCTGATTTGGGGGGGTAAACTCTAAATAATAATGGTGCATCTTTTATAGAAACAATGAAGCTAGTCAAAATAGATCGAGTATTAACTAGAATTCATCTGCCTCACAGGCATTGGGAGGGATGGGGGGGTTGGGGGTTTATTGGGGTTCTTCGTGGTGAAAAATAAGTATTGGTAAAGGGAAATGTGTTTGATATTTGCATGACTGAGACCTAAACCTGAAAGCTTTGTAACTTTTCCCACAGTGATTCAATAAATAAATAAATTATAAAAAAAAAAGTTCATCTGTGCTTTGCCCACTTAAACTGTATCAGTACTGGACATCCACATCTATGCACTCCTTCAACGCTACAGGCTACAGTTCTAGTTCAGTCCCATAACAGTTTCCAAATGATCCTCTGATCCTTGTGGCAATATAAAAGCTAAAATATAATAACCAGAGTACACTCTAGAGAGAAATCTGACGGCTTTTCAATAAAGGAGGAAAAAAACTTAAGAAAAGTTCCTTGTTGGTCCAGGGAGAAGACTCCAAGGGCTGAATGCAATCTTGACTTTGCATGTAGGAAGACTGGGTTTATCCCCAGGACTGAATGTCTCCTGAGCACCAAGCTGGGAGTAGCCCCCACGCACTGAGTCAGGAGTAGCCTCAATACTGCCGGGTGTCAAAGAAGAAAGGAAGAGGGAAAAACAAAAGGAAAGGAAGGAAGAAAAAGGAGGGAGGGAGCGAGGGAGGGAGGGAGGAAGGAAGGAAGGAAGGAAGGAAGGAAGGAAGGAAGGAAGGAAGGAAGATGTGACTCAGTAGTGGAACATTTGCCTTGCATGTGTGAGACCTTTGATTCAATACTTGGCACCAAAAGTAAGACAAACAAGTTAAAAAAAAAAGCAAGGGAAAGAAATTTTTGAACATTATACCTTCTAAGCCTGGAAAAATTGATAACATACACCAGTTTCCAAAATAACTTTTATTACTATATAAAAACAAGTCAGGAAAATATAGATGCATAATTTCTACAAAATTATAACATATTCAAACTATTTAATCCCCTCCCCCATAATTGTTTTCAGATAAAAAGACAATTTTTAAACATAGAAATCTACATGTTTTCAGGTACCTTGTAAGGGAAAAAAATAAGTCTTCTTTCTTCTATACTTTTCTGTGTGTGATTCTAAGATAAAGCAGTAATGGGATTCTATTTATCTTGAAAAGGGACATACAAGGAGTAAAATCCCATCACAGGGCAACAAAATTGAGCATAAAGTTTTACTTCTTTGAACTTTTAGACCTCGTAGTTGGGTCAGTACTGCAATGGAATTTCCAACTCAGGCTGGCAAAGTGCCTAATTAAAAACAAGACATTCCCTTTGTTTAATCCTTTAAGAAAGTAGAAACCAGTTGTTTTTTAAAAATGCAAATCCCTTCTTTGTTCTTTGGTTTTTTAGATCTGAGGTGTGGTTACCAACGAGCAAGGCTTAAATGAGACCACAGGAAAAAATTCTAGAAGGATTCAGGGAGACTCAACAGCATAGGAAGTATGCTCTCCTGATACTATTCAAAAAGTATATTCATTTGAGTTGCTCAAAGGTCTTAGTGTTGATTTAGATGAGTGTTAAAATAAAGCACACCCCAACCCCCACCCTCTCCATGAAATTAGATTATGGGGTAAACCGTGCCAGTCTCTCTTTCACTCTCTCTTTCTCTCTCTCTCTGAAGATGTTATAAGCTATAATTATTTGGGAGAGATTTCAATCACTTGCTTGGAATTGATACCCTAGGCTTTCTTTTCCCCTATTCTTTTTCTGGGATTTTACTAAGATATTTTGGGGAGAGACACTTAAGGTAAGGAAATATCCACTTTTGAAAGATAAAGGTACAATTATCATTAGAATAAAAAGTCCATTAAAAGAAAGATTTTCTAGATATATTTTTACAATGTTCATAAAGGTTGGAAAAGAAAAGAATTTCCTCTAATATCTGTAAGATTACCCTCACAATAGTCCAGGAAAAAGAGAAAATGAAAGAGCTAAGTTCTGCTCAAACACTTTGCAATGGAAAAGAATATTCTTGTGTCGAATCCATAATTAACTTTTCATTAATATCCTCTTTCTTGGCCTCCACAAAACAGAATGACAGCTTCGATTCTTGGGGTTGTCACTGACCTGTCCTCCCCCTAAAAAATCTTGTGGAATTTTTGTGCGCCTTTATGTAATGAAATATCCATTTATCAAAATATGTTTGCATAACAACACAATTACTCCTTCCTCTTAGCACTAAAATATGTAGCATGAGGTACTCATATTGAATTTAATTGTGCCTACTATGTGTCAGGCATTAGACCAAGCACTGGAGACTCTTCTGAAACTATTGTCCAATTTTGGAAATAGAATTAAACAAGAAGAATGCAGTATTACAGCAAGATATCCTTTAAATAGTTATTCAAGAAGCTTAAAGGAAATCAATTCATTAAGCACCAACAATGTTTAGTATATTTGGCATAAAAAGTAGGTTGTGTTTACATTAACATTCTCAATTTAAAATTGCAGGGAACCTCCCCCACTCCCGCCTCCCAATCAATCCCCAAAATGAAAAGTATCATGTCAGCACAGGCATTGCTCTAGATTTTTAATTTCAGTCAGCTTAGAGCCTAAACAGAGATTCCTGTGCACAAAAATTGTCATTACTGAGTTGCAATTCAATACGGGGAATCAGAAACTCTAGAAATCCCCCCAAATTTTCTCCCCCCACTATTGTTTCAAAACAACAACAGGTCTTCAGACAGTGATTTCCTCCTTCCAAACCCCAAGCTATTCAGTCACCAATGGTTCTAAGAACAGATATAACAATGGTTAACCTTGAAAGCTACAAATCTTTCTCAGTCACCAAGGCATCATTTCAGAGCAAAGGTACATCAATGTGGGTCGCAGCTTTTTGGCAGCGGTACAGTATACCTATGACCTATGTACAGGTATGGATGAGTCTTTGGTTACGAGGGAACCTTGGAACAAAGAGCCAGGAAACACACTTTAACAATGATACTATAATCCAGCTGCTGAGGTTTACCCACGGGAGGGTCAAAGAAGGTACAAATTAGTATAAACAGGGGGTGGGGGGGACCCAGATGAGTGCAGTGGTCAAATGATAGATGGAGGAGCCAGCCTGTTGGGTGTGAACCTTTGCTCCCCCACTAAGGAGCCTTGGTCATAGGTGGCAAGTTACTCACCTCGTCAAACTTCCAAACACATATTTGAAAAACAGGGCAGATAACAGTATCCAGGCATCAGGTTTCTGGGGCAATGAGCAATATTTGTAAAGTGCTTAGAATAATATTAGGTACATAGTAAGTGCATGTAAGTACTTTTAAAAATAAGAATATTAACTTGGAGACAAGAGTTCTTTGAGGTTCATAAAGTAATGTATGCTGCTCCAGCATCCAGGCATATAATCTATCTATGCAAAGTACTTTGTTCGCAAAGTAGCCCAAATCCGAGGTGTTTTTTTTTTTTTTTTTGACGCCCTGGGACTAAGAGAAGTTTTAGAAACTACTTTCCAGTCCTATCAGAAACAATCTCTTTGATTGCCGGTGGCCCAATCACAGGACCAAAATGCTCTAACAGAAACCTTGGTTTCTCTGGACAATCTAAGCTCAAAGCAGCTGAAGAGAAGGGAGTGGCAGCAGTGGGAAGACTGGACATCTCAGTCTCTTGTTTTTAGGTCACACCCAGTGGTGCTCAGGGCTTACTCCTGGCTCAGAGATCACTCCTGGAAGTGTCAGGGAAATCATACGGGGATTGAACCCAGGTCTGTTGTGCACAAGGCAAGAGTCCTCCATTCCCTCTTTGGCATATATTTCTTCTTTGTCTCTACACACCTTTCTAAGCAAGTTTCATTCCATAAAAACTACCTTGCTTCACTATTTAGTGCTCTCCTGAAATTCTTTTCTCTAGGGGAAGGATGACAGACCCACAACGCCTGTGCTGAGCTTAGGAGTGACCTGATCAAGGCATTTTCCAGAGTGCTGGTTGCCAAGGTGGGTGTAGCAGAAAGGTAGGTAGAAACATTCTTTACTTGAGTCTACCTTCCTTGATGCCTGGCAACATAAATATGCTCTGAGCTTGTTGTGATTTAGGATACCATTAATGATACAGAGTCATGCATACAATGTATCAGCACCACAAACATTTTCTCCACCAGTGACCCCTTTCTCCACTACTACCTCAGGATCCCCACTTCAACTTTTGCTCCCTACCTACCTCCCTGCCAAGGTAAGAAAAAGACCAGTTCTTAGGTTCTGTTGCCTTGGCCCGTTTGTTATTCCCTTACTCAGCTTCTTTACATGCCACACCCGAGAGATCATCATTTCTTATTCTGTCCCTCTTCTGGTTGATTTCACTCAGCAGATCCCCTCCAGTTCCATCCTCGTGGCAACAAATTGCATGATTTTCTCATTTCTTATAGCCTAGTGGTATTCCACTAGTACATGTATCAAAGTTTATCTGTTCTTAGACCCTTGAGTTGTTTCCAGATTTGGGCTATTGTTGCAATGATTATAGGAGAGTGCATGTCTTTTTGGAGTAGAGTTTTTGAGAATATCTGTTCTTTTTATTTTTAATTTTTTTTTGTAAATCTTGAATGTTACCAAACTGAACTAAAACATAACAAAATAAAACAAACATTGACCTCTCCCAGTCGGAGAAGTTAAGCTGTAGAGTCAGTTTTTCTAGGAACCTTCTAGGCTTACATCTCTACAACACTTTACATGGTGGATCTCTGGCCAGTTTCATCCAGGGTGAAGTTTCTTTTCCGAGCTGCAGCTTCACTGTTTAACTCAGAATCTGCCCTATCAGCATTGCTGAGGTTGATTGCCAAGGAGCCCTCTGCTCCCTCTGCGGCACCTCCGTTTGAACGAAGAAGGACTGAATTTGGTTCCTTAGGACGTTTCCACTGAGGCCTAGTGACGATCCAGAAAATGAGGGCACCGAACACCAGAACCAGAAGGCCAAGAACATTTGTGAAAATGCCTTCAGGTGGAAAAGAACTGTATGCAGGGGCTTTCCTATAAAAAAAAAAAAAAAAAAAAAGAAGAGAGGACGTCTAATCACAAATAAGGCCATACAACAACCTACCAAGCACTCTTGAATTTCATGCTCAAGACGCACAGTGAGATGGTATCAGTGTAAATTCCCCCACTCCCCACCCCCCCCACCCCTGCCCCCCCCAAAAAAAACCTGACTGTTACAATCTGTTCATTTTTTACCCTTCTTCCAACATTAGAAATGCTATAGTGGCCAGAAGATAGTACAGTGGATAGGGTTTGCCTTGTATGTGGCTGACCCAGATTTTATCCCCGGCGTTCCATATGGTCCCCCAGTATAGCCAGGAGTTAATTCCTGAGTGCAAAGCCAGGAGTTACCCCTGAACATTGTCGGGTGTGACCCAAAAAGCGAAAAACAAAATCCAGAAGTGATACTTTACACTTGTATAATACATTCTTTAAATAGTTACTTTCAAATCTATGTTAACATCAAAAGTCATTACGTTTCTAGGTACTTTCCCCAATGAACAAGTATTTAACATCTTATGGTTTAAGTCTATTAGGTGTACAACTTACAGGGAAAAAATCAGTTTCTCAGTCACTCCCATAAGCACTGTTGCAATCACTGTTCCAAAGATGACAAGTCCTGAATAGACGTGGATGGGCATGAGAAATTCTCGGAGCGAAGGCGGGGCCCAGGGGAGCAGAAAGATGAGAAAACCTAGGAGAAGCTAAGCATAAAAGAGTAGCAAGGTCATCCTCTAATTTTAAGTCTTAATGAATTTTAAAGATCATCCTTTAAAAAAATTGTAAGTGCAAAACAAAGAAAACTTCTGTATAGAATCCAGGACAATAAAATAGAAAGTAAGTTTCCCCACTCCACTTCCACCAGTCAAAGGTTATACCTACTATCACTTTCTAAATGATCCTTTGAGAAAATTTCTATCTATACCAATATAAGTATCCATGAATATGTGTGTATAATATATATATATATCACTGTCCTCCCGTTGTTCATCGATTTGCTCGAGCGGGCCCAGTAACATCTCCATTGGAGACTTTGTTGTTACTGTGTCTGGCATATCGAATACGTCACGGGGAGCTTGCCAGGCTCTGCCGTACGGGTGAGATACTCTTGGTAGCTTGCCGGGCTCTCCGAGAGGGGCATAATATATACGTGGACTATAAATTTATCTACACACAAACATATGGTCTTACATGTTGTCTTACAATAAATATATTTGTTCTGCATCATGTTTTTCCCTTTCTAGTGTATCTCGAAGATCCTTTCCTAACAACACATTTCTCTCTTTTTTTTCTTCTTTAATGGCTTGTATTTTAACAAAATGACATCATTTATATGCGTTCTTACTTCTAGTCTTCTCTGATCATTAACAAGGCTACCCTAAACATTCTGGTACTCGGTTTGTTTCTATTAATTTCCTAAAGGTTGCCCAGCAGGAAGTGAAATACCTTAAATTACTAAAGCAGACTTTAAATGACAAACACTAATCACCATGGCACTCACTGCTAGTTCAACCTGAAGAAAGAAAAAAAAAAACCCAACTAGGTGGAAAGAAGTTAACAATTCTGGTTTATGGGAAAGAAAGAGTTTCTCTATTCTCCAGTTTCTTGATAAGCAAGTCCCCCGTGGGATGTTTCTCTGCAGAGAGGACAGTTTGGTGGTGGGTTTCCCTTTCCCTCCCCTCTGTTGTTGTGATGCCTGGGAGTCATCTTTCCTTGTGGTGCTGGAACACAAAGGGCTGTGGCTCTCCAGAAACTGCACCCGTGTGGCCCCGGGGATTCCCTAAGGGCAGTGCTGCTGGGAACACACGGGTTACTGAATTATTAAGTTTAAAATGGAATAGTTTACAGTACCGATTTAGGCCCTACCAGCCCAGCAAAATAATTAAAAGGCAAATGGAGAATGAGAAGAAAAAACCCCCCAACATTATTATCATAACTTTTCACCTTTCCTAACTGACCTCAAAGGACGAATGGGGGGTGGGGGGAGTGGAAACATACAGGTAGAGGGGAATCAAGGCCTTAGTTCATTTTGAAAGAGCTGATAGGGAATGGGAAGAAATGGGAAGAAATAACAATTAACAATTAACATTGGTTTGCGTTTTTCATTGTCCATTTTATACTGCAAATGCCTGATTATAATTGGGGATATTTAAAGAATCCTGTTGGAGATACAGAATTTTCCTAATTCTCCTGGAGTTAGAATTTGTGATTCTATTAGTATTGAAGCATAGCTTCCTGGTGCACAAGTTTTAGTTTTTTTTTTTTTTTTCCAAGTTATTGTCTTTTTTTTTGCCACATCTGGTGCTGCTCAGGGGTTATTTCTGGCCCTGCACTCAGGAATCACTCCTGGTAGTACTTGGGGAATCATATGGAACACCAGAGATTGAACCCTGGCCAGCTGTGTACAAGGCAAACACTGTACCAGCTATACTAACTTTCTCACCCCAAGTTGTGTTTTCTAGAGAAAAATGTGGCTCGGATACATGACTGTCAAAGATTTTGCACAAATACATTCTTGTAAGTCACCATATTTTTAGTTGCTTACCCACAGAAATATACTTTTTCATATACTGTGTTCCTACTTCTCCCCCTCCCCATGATTTTTTAAAAAACTTCTTTGGATTCTTAGCATTTTTGTTTCATTTCTTTTAGGATTTATCATGTGTCTCCAGAAATCCTATAAGTTTCAATGTTCTAAACATGTGGAACATTAGAAGTTTGTTTACTGAATCCAGGGTAATTTAGCTCTCTTAAATCTCATTTTGACCACTAAGAATGCTTTCAATGATGAGAACTTATATTTAAAAGGAAAACGGAAAAGGGTGCTGGAATGCTTAGTGGACTGAGCATATGCTTTGGAAGCTAAGGTCCAGGTTTGATTCTCAGCGCCAGATGATCCCCTCAAGAACCCTAGGAAGCAGCAACGAGCCAGGAGTGGCCACTGCCCTTCTAAGAGTAAACCTGGAGCACAGCTGTGTGTGACCCAAAACAAAGGAAAGGAAGAGAAAAGAAGAGAAAGGAAGAGAGAAAGGGAGAAAGAAAAAAAGAAAGAGAGGAAGGAAGGAAGGGAGGGAGGGAGGGAGGGAGGGAGGGAGAGAGGGAGGGAGGGAGGGGAGGGGAGGGGAGGGGAGGGGAGGGGAGGGAGGGAGGGAGGCGAGGGAGGGAGGAAGAAAGAAAAGGAAGGAAGGAAGAAAGGAAGGGAGGGAGGGAGGGAGGGAGGGAGGGAGGGAAGGAAGGAAGGAAGGAAGGAAGGAAGCAAGCAAGCAAGCAAGCAAGCAAGCAAGCAAGCAGGCGGGCTGAAGAGATAGCACAGCAGGTAGGGCGTTTGCCTTGCATGTGGCCAACCCGGATTCGATTCCCAGCATCCCATATGATCCCCTGAGCACTGCCAGGAGTAATTCCTGAGTGCATGAGCCAGAAGTAACCCCTGTACATCGCCGGTTGTGACCAAAAAAGCAAAATAAAAAGAAAAAATGAAAAAGAAAGATAGGGAAGGAAAGAAGGAAAAAGGGAAGGGAAGGGAAGGGAAGGGAAGGGAAGGGAAGGGAAAGAAAAGAAAAGGAAAGAAGAGAAACATTTTTACTGACTAACCATCTAGGTCTTTAGTTTTCACTGAACTCCAGTGACCTGAAATTACAAAATCTCTTTTTTGCTTTAAGTCAGTGGTTCTTGAAGTGCTGTTCTTAGAAGTCATGCACCAAAACACTTGAGTTGTTTATCTAATGAGATCCCTGGACTACATAAGATCCACAAAACCAGAAATTCTGGAAGTCGGACCCAGGAATCTGCATTTTTACTAAATTCTAGTAACTTGAAGAATACTGCTTTTTCGTCATTATTCTTTTTATCGAGGTGATATTGGTTTACATGACAGTTTATGTTTTAGGGGTACAATTTTAGCCCTTTTCTAAGTGTATCTTACCATGCACCACACATCACCAACATCCTATTTCCCTCCACCACAGTCCATTAGGCTCCTCCTGCCTCTCTCTCCGATAATCTCAGTTCCATTACTGGAGTCCAATAGTTTAGCTCGTTCTCATTTCTTGTTTTGCTTCTCTATTTGCCACAGATGAGTGAAATCACCTGTAATATTTGTCTTTTTACTTCTGAATAGTTATGCTTAACTGACCCCTTACAGTTCCATTCATTCGATCATGAATGGCAATAGGTCATCTGCTGTTGGGCATTTGGAGGGCTGCCTCCAAATCTAGCTACTGTTAATACAGCTGCAACAAACATTGGTGTGCACAGCTTTTCAAACTGGTATTTTTGTATACTTGAAATAGACCTGTAGGAGTGGAACAACTGGATCATAAATAAAGCTAAATCTATCCTTAATACCGTAAGAATTCACCACACTGGCCTCTTTCCATAGAGGACAGATGGACTGATTTTCCCACCAACAGTGGAGGAGGCCCCATTTCCTCCACACCCTGCCATTACTGGTTGTTTCTGGCCTTCTGGAGATAGACCCTGCTTTCAGGAGTCAGGTAACAGCTCAGCGTTACTTTGTTTTGCCTTTCCCTGATAAACAGTGATAACAAACACTTCTTCATAAGCCCTTTGGCTCTCTGCATGTCTTATTTGAGGAAATGCCTGTTTAGTTATTCTCCCCATTTTTGGACCATTTTGTTTGTTTTATTATTGCTGTTGCTGACTTTTTTGAGTGTTTTATATTTCTTTGATATTGGTCTTTGTCAAATGTATGGTATGTAAACCTTTTGTCCCCTTTAGTGGGATGTCTTTTTGTTTATTTTGTTTGGGGGCTGTACTCTACGGTGCTTATCTCTGGCTCTGTGCTCAGGGATCACTCCTGGAGGTGCTTGGGCCCAGGACCATATATGGTGTTGGGAACTGAACCTGGGTCAACTGCATGCAAGGCAAGCATTCTACGGCTGTACTATCACTCCGGCACCAGTCCTTTTTTTTGTATTAATGATAGTTCTTTTCACTGTGAAGAAGCTTTTTGATTTCATATAACCCCCCATTTTTTTTTGTTTTTGTTTCCCTTGCTGTGGGAGTGTAATTCCTAAAGACATCACTAAAGTCCGTTACATGGAGTGATTTGCTTGGGTTTTTGTCAAATGTATTTATGGTTTGGGATCTGATATCCAAGTCTCTAATACATATTGAGTTAACTTTTATGCATGCCATGCAATATGATCCAGTTTTATTCTTTGGCATGTTTCTATCAAGTTTTTCCAACATGATTTGTTGAAGAGACTTTCTCCATTTTATTGCTCTTGGCCTCTTTGGTTGCATATTAACTGTCCATCTACATGAGGCTTTAATTCCAGACTCTCAGTTCTATTTCACTGATAGAACTTTTTATTTCAGATCTATAAAATTTATGATTACTACCTGTGTGGTGTAGTTAGAAATCAGGAAACATGATGCCTCTGTTGTTTTTTTATTTATTGGGATTATTTTGGAAATTTGAAATCTCTTACGGTTCTATACAAATTTCAGTAATGCTTGCTCTATTTCCTGGAAGAATGCCATGAGAATTGTTTGGCTTGGTTTGGGGGCCACACCTGGCAGTGCTCAGGGTTTATGCTTGGTTCTGTGCTCAGGGATCACTTCTGGCACTGCTCAGATAGAACCAGGCCCAACTGCAGGTAAGGCAAATGCCTTATTCCCTATCCTAGCTCTAGGTTGCCTGCCATGGGCATTTTGACAGAGACTGCACTAAATCCATAGAATGCTTTGAATAGGATGGTTGTGTTAATCATGCTTATTCTTCCAAAACTTGATCACATGCTATTCTCACAGCTCCTGTGTCTTCTATTTCTTTTAATAGAGACAGAGTTGTCAACGTAAAGTCTTTCACCTCCTCTCTTCAATTGATTCCAAAACTTTTAAAAGATGCAATGCAGATGGGATTGTTTTCTTGATTGGTTTTGTTTTGTTTTGTTTTCTGTTTGCAGTTAGACATGCAACAGATCTGAGGGACAAACTTTTAAATTTTACTTATTTTAAAAAACTGTAATGTTTTCTCCCCCTTGTCATTGTGTGGGGGTGGTAATGGGTACCCACACATCTGGTCCTGATGCTTGCTAAGGGTTACGGAACATCAGGTCGTGGTGCCCACACACTCAGCTGCAATGCCAGCTAGGAGCGGCTTTCTTTAGCTGTGTGGCTCATGCAGTGCACCTGGGGGACTTGCTCACACAAGTGTTTCCCAGAGATCCTACCTCCTGGCCATGGTGTTCAAACATCTTGTTCCTTTTTCAGTTGTGGTGCTCACTGGTGATTGTGAACCTTTGTGAGACATTAGCACACCTGGCTGCAGTGTGGCCCCAAAGCATCTGCGGCCCTGGGGTCAGAGACGGCAGAGCTTTCAGGATTGTAGTTGGTGCACGTGGTCAGATTTCTAATTAGACTTAGACCATAAAAGTGTAAGACAGGGGTTCAAAGCCACTGAGCCATCCCTCTGGGCTCCTGAAACACTCTTTGTTTGGGGACCACACCCAGTGATGCTTCGAGTTCACTCCTGATTCTGTGCTCAGGTATCACTCCTGGCAATGCTAAAGGAACCATGTGCTAAGGAACTAGCCACATGCAAGGCAATCAAATTAATCTCTGTACTATCTACCTGGACACTGCAATCGAATTTGGTATACTAATTTTGTAGCCTACCACTTTGCCGGATTGTTTTAGTATTCCTAATAGTTTTCAAGTGGAGATTTTAAGATTTCCTGTTTATTATGTCACCTGCAGAATTATAGTTTTATTTCTTCTTTTCCAATGCTTAGTCGAAGGCTGCAAGTTATTAGGTCTGGAGTGACAATACAGTGGGTAGGGCATTTGCCTTGCAAGAGGCCGACCTGGGTTTGATTTCCGGCATCCCATATGGTCCCCAGGGGTGAGCCCTGAGCACAGAGTAACCCCTGAATATCACCAGGTGAGGCCCAAATAAACATAGAAGAATCCTGCATGTTATGAGTCATGGTGCTCACTGGGATCTGCAGTGCTCATACATGACTTGCCAGGGCTTGCACCTCCTGGCTTGCTAGGGTGCCTCCACATCTCCTTTTTAGTTGCAGAGTTTGCTGGGATTTGTACTCCTCTGCGGTGCTCACTGTCATTCCTTGCTGCAATGTGGCCAGAATCATGGACAGGCACCAGGGTTCCCAGTCAGCAGAGCTTCAAAATAGTGCTCATTGATGTGGCAACACTGGTCATTTGAACTTGTGACCATAGGCAAAACAGGTCTCTGCCCTAATCTTAAGAAAATTAATGTAAGAAAAATTAAGAAATATTAGGGTTGGAGAGATAGTACAGAGGGTAAAGTGGATGCACTGTATGTGGCTTGCCCAGGTTTAATCCCTAGCACCCAACTTGATTCTTTGAGCCTGCCAGGAGTGATTCCTGACTGCAGAGCCGTGAGTTGGCCCTGATCACAGCTATGGCCAGAAAAACAAAACAAAACAAAAAAAAAACAAAACAAAACTAGGAATTACTGAAAGAAAAAAAAGAGAGAGAGAATATTTATTCTGTGGTCTATGAATCTTAGTGAAAATGGTTTTCAGAGGAATAAGAAGTTTAAATGCCTTTTTTCAAAAGGAAATATTAAAATATATAAACTAAATATTCCCTTAGGAAAGTAAAAGAGGGTGTGAGAGAAAAGCCCAATGGGCTGCGTTCATGCTGTGCATGGTGGAGGTCTAAGTTTGATCCTCACCTCAGCAAGGTCCCCTGAGCACTGCCAGGAGCTACACTGCCAGGTGTGCCATTCTGTACCAATAATTTGTGTCCTATAGACTTGCCTTCCCATATTTTTGCATTCGAGTAATTAGTTCTTTTTCCTTTGTCAAAAAGTAAAGTAGAGCTGCTGGGGAGATAACTCAAAGGGTTGGATAGGTGCCCTGAGTTCAGTCCCTAGCTCTGCATGGCCGCATAGCCACCCCTCCCCACCCCAGCCCTCCCTCCTTTTCCCCCCAACCCCCCACACCTCACCCAGCTCTGCTTCCCCACTCTGTCAGATATATAAGTGTGGCAAGTGCTAGTCAGTCCCCACAATCCAAATCCCTCTTCAAAAGAAATAACTGAATAGAGCCAAGGAGATAACTCAGAGTGCTGAAATGTGTGCTTTGCATTTGCAAGACCTCAAGTTCAATCCCTTACATCACAGTACCCCCAAGCACCACTGGGTGGATGCCTGGTAGCACTCCAGACATCACCAGGGAGTGCCAGGGAGGCCCTGGTGGCCTCCGAACATCATTGAACACAAGCACTCAAGAGTTAGACCCTTATAACCAGGCTGAGTAATGGAGGGAGCAATCCCTGTGTTCCTTGAGCACTGCTAGGGAAGCCACACTACCCAAAACAATTATAGACATATGGAATGTCTGGAAAACAGCAGGGCGTTTCAAGTCCACTGAAACTGGAACCGGGCAATTAAAGGTCTGGGCCAGTGGTGCAATGCTGCTGGAGTCCAGTAGAGCTGAGGCCCACGAGGGCTACACCTGGCAGTGCTCTGGGGGCCATGTGGTACTAGGGATCAAATTTGGAGCCTTAAGCATGCAAAGCATGCACCTCTAGTCCTGGAGCTATTCCCCTGGTCCCAATGTGTTAATTACACACGAAATGAATGATTGATACAGAGCACAGGACATTTGCCTTGCAAGAAGACGACCCTAGTTCAATCCCAAGCACTATATATGCTCCCCCCAGACCACCAGGAGTGATCCCTGAGTGCAGAGCCAGGAGTGATGCCTGAGCATTCTGGAAGCACTCCTTTGTGGTGGGGAAGGGGATGTGATCACTTCCTTCCCCAAAAGAAGAAAAAGAAAAAGAAAGAAATGTATGATTGTCCAGAAATTACCAGAAGGAAAAAAGATCAATAATCAACTGGAATTTGGCCACCTAGAGATCATCATTTAGCATGCAGGTACACCTCTTTTAAGATGATCAGAGATTGCTTTGCCATGTAATCAGTAAAGAGATATTTTGTTTAGTCCATTTTAGTTGCTGAACTCAGAAGCACAGAAGCTACACAGTACTTGGGTGGGCTCAGTTCTGTTCTTCAAAGTGAGGGTCCCAAATAAGGGCTGAGTAACTGTGGGACCATTATGGACAGAGTGTAACCTAAACCCCAGCTCTGCTCCACTATGCCCCTTGACATTTAACGACTGTGTCCTTCATTGACTCCAGCCTGCTTCCCCAGTGTACAAGAGCTGGGGTTTGCATTCTCGGTTGTGCACAGGTGAGGAGGTGGGTCAAAGCCTAGAGAATACCCCTCTGAAAGTGAACCCAGAGCTGTGTAGAGTCCTCTAGAGTTGCCAGAAAGCCAGGAGGGTCCTCCAGAGCAATGGCAACATCTTAACAGCCCCTGCTCTTACCACTCTCTTCTCTGAGGGGATGGGGTATACCAGCTGACAGTATCTCTATAGTGTGGAGAACCCGGAGAGAAAATCAACTGTGAGGAGAAGAGAGAGATCAGGTCTCAGGTCAGCCATCCAACTTGAGGTGTGTTCCTTGTGACTATTTGATAGGATATGTCACAAGAAAGAAATCTAGAGCTCTTGCCTTTATTGGTTCATGAAACTTACAGTTCAAACAAGAGCAATGTAGGGGTTAGGAGAGAGCAATTTTCTTACATGTGTAGTTAAGATTTCATATACCCAATAATCCAGAAATTCTATTTTGAAAAGACAATCAGTAATCCTATATTCAGTGTGGCCCTACTCATAGTGGCCAAGATCTGGAAACAGCCCAAGTGCCCAAGAACAGATGATTCCATATAGAAACTGTGACATACACACACACACACACACACACACACACACACACACACACACACACACACGGGAGGTAGGGGTGGGGGGAATGAGAGGGGGCAGGAGCTATAAGAAAAGATGCAATTCACCACTATATGAATGGGTCTGGAAAGTATCATGCTGAGTGAAGTTAGGAGGAAAGGAACAGGTACAGAATATCAAGCTTATATGTGACTATAATAAAACACTGTAAGGGCCAATGCAATAGGTCCTGAGAATCAGCCTGAGTCTGCTAAGGGGAGGCGGCGGTGGTGGGTGGAGGTGAGGACAATGAGGACCCTGTAACGTTTATGGCAGCACATTGTCACTGGTGGGGGGACAGCCTGAAACTCTGTTATTAGCAGCATTGTGAATCAAGGTGCCTAAATAAAATTGAAAAAAAAAATGGCTCACATTCTTATTTCTAGACACTGATTTCTGCTGTTGTCCTGTCCCTCTCAGGGAGAAATTCTTTGAAAGAAAATGAAAAAAAAAAAAAAAAACAAGGATGGGCAGACAGGGGAAGAGGGTTCCCAAGAAACTCTAAGCAGAGAAAACACTAATAGTATCTGAACTGTGCCTCGTTCTGTCTCTGGTTTGTCATATGCTGAGACACTGACCTGTAAGATGTAGTACACGACAGCAGTCAGCCCAATCCAGCTGTGCAGACTGTACATATTGGGTATTTTCTTGGCATTGTGGAAATCAAACACGGCCACCAGTGAGATAATGGCAAGAATGGCTGCAATGGCATTTAAGCCCGCGTGGATGGATTTCATCAGGAGCTTGCTGCATTTCCAGGTCCATGGCAGTCTATACACGATGATGGCTACAAAGAGACAGACGGGGACAGGAGGCACATTTACTTTCTCAGCACAGACAACAGTTTGACACACTGAGTACTTCCTTCTACAAAACCTCTCTCTCTCTCTCTCTCTCTCTCTCTCTCTCTCTCTCTCTCTCTCTCTCTCTCTCTATTTTGGCTTTAGGGCCACATCTGGTAATATTCAGAAGTAACTCTTGGCTCTGTACTAAGGAATAACTCCTGGTGGTGCTCAAGGAATGCTGAGAATCGAACCCAGGTTGGCTGCATGCAAGATAAATGCACTTCCCACTATACTATTGCTCCGGCCCAAAACCCTTTTCTCTTAGTCTCTGCTTTCCCCCCCCCCCCCTTCCTTGACTCCTGGTGGTTCCTTCTAGACATTATTTTTTGTTGTTGTTCCAGCCACACCCTGGTAGTGCTCAGTGCTTACTCCTGGCTCTGCACTCAGGGATCATTCCTGGCAGTGCTTGCAACATATGGGGTACCAGAGATCTACTGGGGTACGCCATGTTGCAAGTCAAGCACCCGACCGACTGTACTACCGCTCCAGCCCCCATCTTGGACTCTTTCTGGGATTATTTTTTTTTCTTTTTGGGTCACACCCAGCAATGCTCAGGTGTTATTCCTGGCTCTGCACTCAGGAATTACTCCTGGCAGTGCTTGGGGGACCGTATGGGATGCCGGGGATCGAACCCAGGTTGGCTGCACGCAAGGCAAACACCCTACCTGCTGTAGTATCACTCTGGTGCCACTAGGATTATTTTTACTTTCAACTTGTGAATGAAAGTTGGTTGACCCTCAGTCCTGGGACTTTTCCCTCCTCTCTCTCCCTTCCCCTGAAATGCTATCTATATAACATTTATAAAGCATCTACATAGTGAGATTTCCAAAATTTGCAGCAACAGATTAGAAGTTTCTAAACTCCAGACCATATAATCCAATACATTCCTGATATCTCCTTCTAGATGCCTCCCAAGTATGTCAAACTTAACATACTCTAAACTAAATTGTTAATCTTATAATATGGTTTCTTTGTATAGTATCATAGTTAACTTAAAGTGAAAAAGAAAGATAAATCAGGGTAAAGAAACTATGATTCATCTACACAGTGGAATACTATGCAACTGTCAGGAAAAATGAAGTCATGAAATTTGCTTATAAATGGATGGACATGGAGAGTATCATGCTGCGTACAATGAGTCAGAAGGAGAAGGCCATATATAGAATGACTGCATTCACTGGTGTGATAGTAAAAACAAATAGTATGAGATTATTATCTAAAGCCAGAAAAAAACAGGGGCCAGGAGGACTGGTCAGTAGTTGGAAGCTTGCCAAAAATGTGGAGGGGGTGATGTGGAGAGCAGTTAAGATAGAGAAGGGAACAATATCACAAGAACAGGTGAAAATGATCACTCTGGACAAGAAGTGAGTGTTGAAAGTAGGTGAAGGGATATACATGATGGACTTTCAGTATCTGTATTGGAAACCATAATGCCCAAGGGGAGAGAGAGAGAGAGAGAGAGAGAGAGAGAGAGAGAGAGAGAGAGAGAGAGAGAGAGAGAGAGAGAGGTGGGGGGGGGAAGAAAAGTGCTTGGTGAGCACCACAGAGGCTGGGGGCGGGGTTGGGAAACTGGGGTCATTGGTGGTGGGAAACGTACACTGATAAAGGAACAGACAGTATCCGAATGACTAATAACCATAAGAAAGATATCAAATCACAGGCAACAGAGAAAGGCAATTTAAAACCAAAGGAGATCACCTCTACCATATATTTAAAAACCTGTAGTACTGTCCTCCTGTTGTTCATTGATTTGCTCGAGCGGGCACCAGTAATGTCTCCATTGTGAGACTTGTTACTGTGTTTGGCACATCGAATACACCATGAGGAGCTTGCCAGACTCAGCTGTGTGGGCAGGACACTCTCGGTAGCTTGCCGGGCTTTCTGAGCGGGGTGGATAAATCAAACCCAGATTGGCCACGTGCAAGGCAAATGCCCTACCCACTGTGCTACCACTAGAATCCATTTAAAAGCCTAAACAGAAAAAAATGAGTATTGGAGGAAATGTAAAGCAAACAGGACTTTAAGGTTCTACTGCTCGAAGTCTAAATGAGAATACTCTTTGGGAAAAGAGTTTTATCAAGGTAAGTGAAATTTATGCATACCTTATAACCCAGCAATTCCTGGGACTTAAAGAAATATGAACACATGTTCACCAAAGACAGGCACTGGAGTATGCAGGGATGTGGCTCCAAGGAACAGTGCACCTGCCTAGCATGCATGGTGGTGTCAGCACTGCAACTGGGTTGGCACATTTGTTGGCTGTGGTGCCAGGATTTGTGCACACTTTGATGCTGTGATGTGGATCAGTGCCACACCTGGCCATGTTCAAAGATTACTCCTGGTTCATTGCTCAGATGTAGGAGTCATTTCCAGTGGTGCTCCTGGGTTGGGGGGCAGATCATGTGGTACCAGAGACTGAACCCAGGCCCCCAGCATGCAAAGCATGTGTTACAGATTACTGAGAACTTTTTGAGACACCAGTGTGATGTGTTAACATTTTGCATCTCATTTCTGTAAGAAAAGTATGATTATAGTACCATTACACAGAGAATGAGGTGAAACACAGAGAAGTAATTTGCTCTGTCTCAACTGTTTTCAAGAGAATATTATTGCTATCACCATCCCCATGACCACCCTCACCACCATGTCATCCAGGAACCTCTACAGGGAAAAGAACTTTGATGAGTAAATTTGAACATCAACCTATAAAAAACTTGAGATATTTTGCTTTCTGAAAGGCAAATTATGAATAATAAACCACAATAGACTTTTGTCCCCAATCTGGATCATATGATACCAAATTTTTTCCAAAATACAAAAGGCAGAAGTCAGGCTTTGTGACTCTTACTGAGAAGACTAAAGAGATCTGGCAGTGCCTGGTATGGGGGAAACCAGGAAGGTGGTTTCACGATCTGAGTACACAAGTGGCTCCTGTTACAACAACACATCACTTTAAATTTAGGTACTGCATGATCAGCTCCACAATACAAAAGGACCTTATAAAATTCCTGCCAAGACGTCAAAGATATTTTTGTTCCCAGTGAAGAGTATTGATATTTCTCAGTAAGTACTAAGAACATCGTACAGAAACAGGTGAAATTTTCCATTAAAATCTCTCCCCTTTGAGTAGTAAAACTTGATTTTTGATTCATTTACTTTCACTCAAATGCGCGTTTAGACTGGTTGCCAACTAACAATCCCTCTCTAGCAGGAGAATAAATGAAATATAATATAGTCTTTTATTGATGATTTAAGATTATCAGTAAGGCAGACTGCTTCTGTCACTCTAGAAGTAAATCCATAGGCACTTCTAAAGCATGAAAAGTGCTATTTTCAGATTCAAATAGACCCAAGAATTATGATTTTTATTGATATTCTTAATCCCTGGGTCTAATTTCTAGTTTTTCCATTTCTTCTTTTAATTTCTTGCTCAGATTGGGGTACCTGCTACAACATCTTTTTATGCAATTTTGCTTCCTTATTCTTAATAGCTCTAATGTCTAGCTTATAATTTTTTTAAATTAATTAATTTATTTATTGAATTAATAATGGATGAGCCTCACGCATAAAAGAACTGACAGAGGAACCCAGGTGTGTGGGACCCGGGGCTGAGATCTCCAAGCCTGCACAGTTTGGGACTGGACCTGCCAGTAACTAGACAGTTACACCCACCAACTACCGTGTAACTCCAACAACGGCCAGGATCCAGAGATTATCACACTCAGCTCCCGGAAGCACGCAGCCGCATTCGCGGCCGCGCGACATCTTATCATCTCATTCCTAATTTGGTCAAACTGGCAGGCTACCAAATGTAACATGCCCACACGGCAGAGTCTGGCAAACTCCCCGTGGTATACCCAATATGCCAAATACCAGTAACAATGATGGGTCTCATTCTCCTAACCCTGAAAAAGCCTTGAATATGGCACTTTAAAAAAAAAAATCTCAGGGCTAGGACGAAGAAGACGTTACTGGCACCTGCTCGAGGCAATCGACGAACAACAGGGTGGTCATGATCGTGATTGATTGAATCGCTGTGGGAAAAATTACAAAGCTTTCAAGTTTAGGTCTCAGTCATGCAAATATCAATCACAATTCCCTTTACCAATACTTATTTTTCACCACGAAGAACCCCAGTAAACCCCCCCTCACCACCCCCCAGTGTCTGTGGGGTAGATGAATTCTAGTTAACACTCTGTCTACTTTGACTAGCTTCATTGTTTTGATAAAAGTTGCACCATTATTATTTAGACTTTACCCCTCCCCCACAAACTCAGCCATGCTGAAAAAGCATTGTGAAATGATTTGCTTTCTACAGCTGGGTTCAAGAAGTAAATGATGGTTTTGGATTTCTGCTATTTTATTTATTAACCCTGCAAGTATTTCTTTCAGATAATTAGGAGATTGGTCTCTGTGCTTCTGGGACTGTGGCCATGCCGGAGAGCCGCTCATGGGGGGCAACTGGTGACCTCAGTCGGGCGTGAAGGACGGGCCGGAGCGCCCCCCGTCCCATGAGGTTTCAGTCGCGTCCCACCCCCGGCTCATACCTGCTCTCCACAAGGCTCCCATGTGGCCACCATCTTTCTTTCCAGAGAGGAGAGGGCAAATGGGGCAACACCCTTTCCCCTCCGGGCAGGCAAGATGGCGTGGATTAATGCTTAGTCCATTCGCTTTTCTGCTCCAAGCGGCTGGATTTCTGTATTAAGTCCTTGTGCTTCTGGAGCCGTGGCTGTGCCGGAGAGCCGCTCGTGGGGGGCAACTGGTGACCTCGGTTGGGCGTGAAGGATGGGCCGGATCACCCCCGCCTCCCCCCCCCCCCCCAGTCCCATGAGGTTTCAGTCGCGCCCCCACCCCCGGCTCAGACCTGCTCTCCACCAGGCTCCCATGTGGCCCTAGCTTATAATTTTTTATGATTAAAAGAATCTTAAATCTGCTTAAACTT